TTATTAGTGCGTAAGAGCAAGTTCTGACCGGTCCCTACGCAAATTTACGAACTTATAATTACCGTACTGGAATAGTTCCGAATCGGTTCGGAGAAAACCAAAACAATTTGTGGACGATACTAGAAAGGTTCTAACTGAACCAAAACACATTTTAATAACTGCGCATGATCGAACTGTATAGAATTGTGAACCAAAGCAAACCTAATTTATTGTGGCATTCGCATTGTTAAAATTTTGAGGTTAGACACTATATTTGGTGTAAACATACTTCGATGTCTATAACGAGTAATCTCGATCACGGCAGTCGATATTACCCCAACCAGTGGTCGATATTGTACACTTTGTTTTTCAAAAGAAATTTTGGTATCATTTACAAGAAATTATATAAAAAATACAACCCGTTCTTCCTGGACAGAAAGGTGGATGAAGCGATCCTTAAATGAGGTTGAACAAAAATCCTGTTCAAATATAAAAGCAGCTAGTTTCTACTCGATTCCATATGGTACTCTGCAAGATCGTCTAAGAAATCGGTTTCCAGCTAAAAAAATTGTGTTAGGAAGAAAACCAATATTTTCTGTCGAACAAGATTACAATCCTATTATGTAATTGAATTGTCAAACCTTTTCTATGGATTAACACTAACAGTATACGGAAAGTTGCATATGAATATGCTGTATCAAACAATATAAGAGACAGCTTCAATGATAATAAAAAAACATGTTGAAAAAAATGGCTGTATGGGTTCCTAAGGAGACATTCCCAATTGTCCTTGAAAGCCAGAAGCGACTAGTGGGAATAGAGTACTGGCTTTTAATGAAGCAGATATAAATGTGACAAAACTAATGGAAAAATACAGTTTTCGCCCAGACCGCATTCACAATGTGGACGAGACCGGGATAACAATCGTGCACAAACCGTCTCGTGTTCTAGCACCAAAAAGAAGAAAGCAAGTTGGGGGTCCATTAGTAGTGGATAGCGAAGTCAAACCACTACTGTAGTTTACTGTATAAGTGCTGAGGGAAACGAGAATAATGAAGGAGGGATTGCGTGAAAATGATCCAGTTGGCGCAATCTATCACTGTTCAAAGTCCGGTTGGATGACCAAGGAATTATTTTCCAAATGGTGAAAGCAGTTTTGTGAATTCGTCAAAGCCTCCCCTGATGATCCCGTCGTGCTCATTTTAGACAATCACACCTCACATTCTACTCTGCAATCCTATAATTACTGTCGTGAAAATGGAATCATAATGGTTTCTCTTTCCACACACACGTCTCATGAGGTTCATCCATTGGATGTGACTTTTTCGTTTGACTTAACATCTGCATATAATCACTATGAAACAATTGCTGTTACAGATATTGCAGAATTATTTGCTAAAGCCTACCACCGAGTAGCTACTATTGAAAAAGGTATGAATAGTTTTGAAAATACAGGACTATATCCGATAGATAGGAATGTATTCGAAGAGGAAGATTTCACTCCAATACCTGACTCACCTACTGTTATCGAGGATAATATGGTGATACCAGTTGCGATTATTGATGAAATCACTTTACCTTTCGCAACCCCAAGTTCAGTTGCTGGTCCAAGTGGTTTCACTTCCATGAGAAAGAAAAAAACAAATCCTAATTCGACAAAGCCATTGAGGCAAAAAAAATTCTAATGACTTCTCTTCGGAAACTGACGAATCATCTTGCGAGTTACAAGAAGTGTATGATAATAAAGCTACAGATGATGAAGACAAAACAGTAAAGATCAAGGACAGGACATTCGAAGAATTACATCCAACACCTAAACCTTAACCTACACAGAGCAAAAGAAAGAAAGAAATCGAAAATTCTCACCTCGACAACGATGAAAGGAGAATTGAAAGAAATGGGGCAGATAATGAAGAATGATGGCGATGCAGATTATGTGGCACATGTTTTGTATAACTGCAGATTATGCAAAATACTTTTCATCATGTAATTATTTCGAGTCAAGGGTATTCATTCAGTTTTGAGTTTTTTTTTTTTTATTTCGGTCGATATTTTCCCACTCATTGTCAATATTTCTCATTAGTGGTCGGGTAATATTTTTCGTAAAAGTAAAACTTTTTGTATATTGTTATTTTTTTGTTTTTTTGTACCTTGGGAGCTGTCTGACTTGTCCATTTAGTCCAAGTCTCCAGGAAACACTGCAGCCTCTTGGGCTTATTGCGTTTGTTCTTCCATCTTCTCATGACACCCATTCCATCAGTCTCGTTCCCTGTACTAGTTTATACAGGTTCCGTGTTGGATGTTCGTCATATAAGAATATGACGTAATTTCATACGTCCATATATTGCCTGCCTCCTGTGATTCAGTGCCTCACATTCGCATAAGATGTGTAGAGCTGTTTCTATCCCTTCGTTGCATAATCTGCAGCTGAGGTCTCCATTGTACAGCCCCATTTTATTCAGGTGTTCTCTGAGCGGACAATGACCGGTTAGTAACCCTGTAATTATTCTGAGCCGATCCCTACTATATTGAAGTAGTTCTTCGGTTCTTTTCTCGGGCGGTTCCCCAATGAAGGTTCTACTGTGTTTGTTGCCAGGTACTTTTGTCCAGTACTCTGTATGTTTCTTATTGGTCCATATCCTAATCTGGTTTCGTACCAGTGATTTTGATACCCCCAGAGCTGGTTCAGGACCTATATATGAAGTTGATGATCCGCGTCTAGCGCATTCATGAGCTTTATCATTACCAGTTGCACATGTTTTGTGCAACTGCAGATTATGCAAAAGACTTTTCCTCATGTAATTATTTCAAGTCAAGGGTATTCATTCAGTTTTGAGTTTTTTTTTTATTTCGGTCGATATTTTCCCACTCATTGTCGACATTTCTCATTAGTGGTCCGGTAATATTTTTTGTAAAAGTAAAACTTTTTGTATATTGTTATTTTTCTGTTTTTTTGTACCTTGGGAGCTGTCTGACTTGTCCATTTAGTCCAAGTCTCCAGGAAACATTGCAGCCTCTTGGGCTTATTGCATTTGTTTTTCCATCTTCTCATGACATCCATTCCATCAGTCTCGTTCCCTGTACTAGTTTGTACAAGTTCCGTGTTGGATGTTCGTCATATTCTTCTGGACGTAATTTCATACGTCCATATATTGCCTGCCTCCAGTGATTCAGTGCCTCACATTCGCATAAGATATGTAGAGCTGTTTCTATCCCTTCGTTGCATAATCTGCAGCTGAGGTCTCCATTGTACAGCCCCATTTTATTCAGGTGTTCTCTGAGCGGACAATGACCGGTTAGTAACCCTGTAATTATTCTGAGCCGATCCCTACTATATTGAAGTAGTTCTTCGGTTCTTTTCTCGGGCGGTTCCCCAATGAAGGTTCTACTGTGTTTGTTGCCAGGTACTTTTGTCCAGTACTCTGTGTGTTTCTTATTGGTCCATATCCTAATCTGGTTTCGTACCAGTGATTTTGATACCCCCAGAGCTGGTTCAGGACCTATATATGAAGTTGATGATCCGCGTCTAGCGCATTCATGAGCTTTATCATTACCTGTGATTCCTGAATGCCCTGGCACCCAGTACAAAGTTAATTTGTTCCTGTTTGCAAGTTCATTCAGTTCTTCATGGCATTCCCAGACCAGTTTTGATGTCACCTTCGGGTTTGTCAGAGCCCCTAGTGCGCTCTTGCTGTCTGTAAAAATATTGATCCGCTCATTTCTTTGAGGTCTCAATTTATTAAGCCTTGCACACTGCAAGATAGCATACACTTCCGCCTGAAATACGGATGTGTATAGTCCTAGCGGATAGCTGTAGTTTAGATTTCTATCCGCTCGGTATATTCCAGCTCCCGTTCCATGTTTGGTCTTCGACCCATCTGTATACCAGGTGTTTTTTCCAAACATGTTTTCGGGATGACTAATGGTCTTCCACTCTTCACGGCTTATGATTTTGGCCGTGAAGTTTGTGTTAAAGGTGTACTTCGGTGTCATGTGGTCCGTGCACATATTCCATATGTGCTCCTCCACTTGTTCCGGAATTTCTGTTCGGTCCGATCTTCTGTAGTTCGGTGAGTTTTCCAGTCTGAATTGGCCCATCGTGGCCTCCCCCATTATCACACAGTGTAAAGGATGTAGATTCAGGAGTGTCTCCAATGCAGCTGTTAGGGTAGTTCTCATTGCTCCCGTCATTCCCAAACATGCAAGTCTTTGCACCTTGCCTAGTTTGTTGATGGCGGTCGCCTGCTTCATCTTTGGCCACCAGACCAGAGATGCGTATGTTATCATGGGTTTAACCACCATCATGTATAGCCAATATTCCATGTCTGGTTTTAGCCCCCATGTTTTTCCATAGGTGCGTCTGGCGAGCATCAGTGCTACCTCCGCTTTCCTCTTTATCCTGTCCAAGTGTTGGTTCCAGGTCAGTTTGGAGTCTAGGATTACTCCCAGATATTTAACCTCCCCCGACACTTGTATTTCTTCACCTCGAAGTTTTAGAGGTCCGAGACCCTCCATTTCAGTCCTCTTGGTGAATGCTACTATGGTCGATTTGGATGGGCTTATGTTAAGCCCTTCCTCTTCAGTCCATCTTGTTATGATGTTCAGGGCCTGCTGCATGCATCCCTTCACTACATTATTGTATTTACCCTGGACTAGGAGGACTAAGTCGTCTGCATAGCCCAGTGCTTTATACCCATTACGGTCCAGGAGACATAGCAGCTCGTCCATTACAAGGTTCCATAACATATTTGTGCTCACTTACCTTCTTTGAACATCAGTCAAAGTATACACATCAATATATATGTCTTTGGTTACCACGTATTCATTTCATAAATTCTTTATGTTAGGTGGTCGATATTAGACTGCCTTCCCCTAGTTCTCACATTGCTATGTTTGTTTGTGTCGAAAAAATCAGACAGAAAAAATCATGATTTCAGAATGGTATTCATAATAAATATACATATATAACACGGAAAACCTGCGAATGTTTTTCTTGATTATGAAAATTGAATAAAACATACCATAAATGGATTCTTGGCGTTCTCTTCCTGGGAGTAATATTCTTCCAATTTTTTGCATATAACTTTGCTTGTAGGGCATCCCTTCTCTATTTTCATTTCTGGGTGAATGAAATCTTCCAAACTCGGTTTTTCTGATGACTCACGACCTTCTCTTCCGAACAACTTATTTGCGAATGAGAACAACAAACCCTCATTTGAAGTATAGCCCATTATCATTGGAACTTTGTTGTAATCCCCAGAAATCATTATCTCAAATGGATTTTTTGTCAGGAAGGCTGTTGGGTTGGGTTTTTCAATCACGGGCCCTATACTTCCGCCTGGAGGTTTTGTCTGAGGAAAAACATAATCCAGGTTTTAAAATCTGGGAATGAACTTATATTTTGAGAGGAAGGAAAGAAATGAGGCAGGTGATAATTATCGTCCTAGGATAATCAGTGTGATCCTTCAGTAAAATAAAATAGGCTGTTACGACCGGAATGAAATGGACCATGGTGGAAGGGTCAAATTTCATAATTTTGTATAATGCTTTCCACTATATTCAAAATGTTCACCAGCTGGGAGACGTTTTCCTGATTCTCTCAAGTAGCGTATAGCCATCCAGACTAAAGAGTGTGATTTTGGAACCGTACCAGTGTACCATCTTCAGGAATACCCTCAACGGCAGACATACTGGCATATTGAAAGAATTTCATTTGACTGGCCAATATTAAAGTTTTAGATTATTCGTAGTGCCACCTTATTGACCGGAGCAAACTTTATCAACGATATATTAGATTCATCCATGTGTGATTTTCTCGCCTCTGGTTTGGGTGAATCTTCGTTTGAGCATGAGCTAATTCGGTCGGTAGCCAGGCGGTTCGATGTGAGTGCTTTGTTCACTCACTCGAATTGACTGCCGTGTTGGTCGGTGGTTCAAGCCCCAGTTTGAACGATCAATTTTCACTTGCTATCGTCCAACCGCGTTAGGAATCACACGTTGAAAGGTAAGATCGTTAATCCTTAGCTCGTACAAGTTTCGACTTCTGAGGGTTGTCGTTCGTAGGGGTGCGACAGCTGGTTACCGGAAAAACAGATTTTAAACAGATTTTTTTTCAAACAGATATTATTTCAGTCCATCAATCAACCAAACTTCATCAGTTTTCCATATTCGGACTTACGCTTCCGATTCAGACATTAATTGTATAGGTATGTCAGGGTGTACATTGTTTGATAATGTCCTTCTAGGACGAAACTTTAGTAACGTTAGTTACGAATACAAGTGGTTTAAAAATATAGGAAGTTTGAGTTCTCATTTTTCATGATTGGCTCTGTAATACCGTGTTTCACATTCCTATGGACCATGCCATTTCTTGAAACAGTTCTTCATATCAATATAATTACTCAAACTTTATTCATTGTTTCTCATATCTCGTATGGAAAATCTGTTTAAAATCTGTTTTTCCGTTAATCAGCTGTCACCCCCATACGAACGACAACTCTCAGAAGTTGAGAAACTTGTGCGAGCTAAGGACTAACGAGGTCTTACCTTTTAACGTGTGATTCCTAACAAGGTTGCGAAATCATTCCAGCTTCAACCAGATAAATTCTCTCGAGAAAAATACCTGGTCGAGGTGGGAATCGAACCCACGGTCTTCCGATCGTGAGTCGGGTGCACTACCACCGCGGCCAATTTCACATAGGCTATAATGATTTCGTTTATCATGTTTTCGTTTGTCATGAAGGAGTATCAAGTATCAGTGGAATGAATTATACCATTTAGTATAATATTCATCTCTTGATTATGGATGTCGTATTTCAACAGATTTCTATTCACAAGATATCCAAATGAATCCTTTCGGACTTTTTTTCGTGTACAGTGAATATCTGCATAAACATGTTCGTACATCATTTCATATATAGGATTGATATCAACTTGATGTTCAAAAGTGTCTCCAATCTATAATATACCTCATGGATATTCCTTGAGCGGAAATAGATGTCCGCGAGATATCCTTTTGGACAAGAATGTATATCCATAGTACTTTCAAAGGATGTCTTTGGGACATCCTGTTTAAGTGAATTTCAGTCTCCTGTAACAGATTGAAAATGTTACTCGATCCGCTACCTACTATATAGGTACAGTGATGTTTGTTACGTGTTCGGAAGTAGACTGTCCTTACACTCAATTTATAGGGATGGATGTTCCCATTTACCTGCGTTGCTGCCACTACCTGTGTTTGCTCGACTACCTGTTTTGGTAGTCGAGTTACACCGGTCATAGCAACCACACTACCATATATTGCAGGAACAACAGACAAAATCAGCAAAATCATTCGCCGACACAACATATCAACTTCATTCGTACGGACAATAAGGTCCATGCTCCGTAATCCGAAGGATCAGATACCACTGGAGTCACAAGGAGTGTATGAAGTACCAGACGAATCAACATACGCAGAGATGAACACAAACTAGCAGTGAAGGGAAAGGTGTTTAGCTTGCTAAATTTCTATCTTGAAAAGATAAACAGATGAGTACTATTTCGGTCATTCCCATACTGATTCCAATTCAAGAGTCACCGGTAGACAGCTGTTTCAGCCTATTGGGCATCGTCAGTACCGGGTAGGTGGTCCTCGATTGAAGACCAAGAAAGGTACTTGATAAAAATAACTGCGTAACAGCAAGCGAGACATAAGTGGAACCACCTGTTGGTGTGACACCTAATTCAACTTGCATTTTAGGTTAGTTTCCCAAATTTCTGCGGTAGCAGAAATTTGGTGGTCAAACCACCAACACTGACATAAGAACTTGGCAAGTTGACTTGGGGGTCACACCAATAGGTGGTTCCACTTATGTCTCGCTTGCGTTCACGCAGTTATTTTTATTAAGTACGTTTTTTTGATATTCACATTTTCTCTTCAATCGAGGACCACCTATCCGATACTGACGATGTCCAATAGGCTGAAACAGCTGTCTACCGGTGGCTCTTAAATTGGAATCGATATGGGAATGACCACAATAGTACTCATCTGTTTATCTTTTGATTTTCATGGAATTATTTTCCAGCAGCAGCACAACGATATTTCTTGAAAATTTTGAAATACTATTCTACCGGGGACACAATCCTACGGACACAATTTTTTTCATAGCATAAAACCTAACACATTTTTAATTTCATTTCAACTGGTTTTTCAAAGTTGATTCAGTCATTCAATAATCGACTCACATTCAAATAGTCCTCCTGTAAAATATATAAGTCCTCCTCGGACATTGCTTTCAAAATTTCCAAGGCTTCTTTCCCATCATTTACTTCTCTTCCAATAAATTTCATGAGATCAAAGATATCGAAGTTCGACCTAGTCCAAGAATTTAAGACAGCCCCACTTTGTAAGATGGCTTTGTGAAAAAGACCATTTGCTGAGGGTGATAAAATGAGATAATGAACCGAAGCAGCTCCAGCACTTTCACCTGAAAATCATGATATATAGTTTATTTTCAGAAAATGTACAGTATTGAGATACATAAAACGATTATTTATAATGGCGTGTCACATTTTCAAGCATTAATGAATGAAAAAATTTGACTTTCCCCAAGTAAGACGCTAGTGAAATGAATTTTTCATAAAGATTGTCTTGTATCTTGCAAACTCTAATTAAACGAATCAGCCAGGTTGCGTTGTTGTATACTTTTTTCATGAAACTTGTTCAATTCCTTCAGTCAGATTACAGTAACCCAATGTGCTTACAGTTACCACTAACTGGTTTATACGACAGCCTTCATTTTTATTGTCGAGCATCTGAAACTCTGTACTGAAATTATATCTGATGTATTTGGATATATATGATATATACTCAATTATTCAAGTAGTAACATTCAAGAATGTTTTGAGGGCAGCAAAGCTCAGAGAGATAATAAAGATTCAATAAAAAATTGCAATTATATAACAGAGAATAAAACAATATTACATCTGATTCAAAATTTGAATCAGGGTCAATTATTTGTTTGAAGGTGTGTGACAATGTTTAATGGTGCATTTCATTAGTTATCCACAAACTCTATTTGAAAAATATATCACAACATGTTTCGCTAAGACATTAGCTTTTTCAAGTGATATCTACATCAAGTTGTTCTTACATTGATATTTATATACTACAGGTAACCATAATTGAGACTACCTCCAAAAAATTACCTGAACCTTGTACCTGTTTAATTATGATCACCTGAAGCATATTACCTCACAACTACATCAATAATAATTCTTTCTCGGTTTTTAAGAAAACAAATTCAATAATGGTGATCTATTCAAATGTAGTTTATCATTCGTTAGAATGTTTGAATTTTTTAGTTTATTAATTTCCATTGCTTCCAAATGAATCAGTTCCAAACCTTTATTTTCTATATGCAAAATTTCGAACTCTTCGTTGAAGATATGGTTTTATTCTAGAAGATGATTTGAATATGTTGTATTTGTTTTCTTATTTACATAGTTCGTATGATGTTCCTGGATTTGATTCCTAAATGTCCTGCCAGTTCAACCAATATATACCTTAGGGCACGTTCCACACTTTAATTTATATACTCCTGATTTCTCGAATTTGGATGTTTTGTCTTTATTATTTTTAACTAACTTTCCCAACGTATTACTTGTTCGATATGCAATTTTAATATCTCGTTTCCTCAAAAGTGAAGTCACTTTTTTCGTTGGTTGCCCAAAATACGTTAAAGCTCTATAATTTTGATTATCTACCTTATCAATACGAAAAACGTCTTGAATCGCTTTTGCGTAGACTTTCTTGGCAAGTATTTTGTTTATTAATTCGGCTTTAAACCCATTGTCAACCGCAATTTGCATGATGATATTAAGTTCTTTATCGAAATTATCTATTGAAAGAGAAACATTGACTGATCTGTGAATCATGCTATTATAAGCTGCTACTTTGTGTTGATAAGGATGGGTAGAATCATAATGTATAGTAATATCCGTATAGGACTGTTTGTGATAAATTGAAAAATCAAGTTTGTTGTTCGTTCTACTAATTGTTAGGTCCAAGAAATTGATTGAGTTGTCTGCTTCTATTTCAATAGTGAATTTAATGTTTTCATGAATTTTGTTAATATCCCTATGAAAAGTATCTAATTGTCTCTTAGTACCTGTAAAACATACCAAAACGTCATCCACATATCTATGCCAATACAAGAAATTCTTAATCACAGGATGTTCAAAGATCGACTTCTCTAGATTATCCATGAAAATTTCTGCATGTAAGGGGCTTAATGGATATTCCATAATTAAACCTTTTGAGGAGGAATAGTTGTTGAATAGAAAATAATTTTGTTTGAGACATAACGACAGAAGGTCAATTATTTTACGTTTTATGATTGGGTTCACTCTATTTTCATCTAATAATTCTATTAATATTACTGGAGTTTTTTTCCAACATCAAATCCTTATTTTTAACACCTCGACAAGTGTTTCGATCACAAAGTGATCATCTTCAAAGAGGAAGAATAAAAAAAAATCTTCCTCTTCAAAGATGATCACTTGGTGATCGAAACACGTGTCGAGGTGTTGAAAATAACGATTTGGTGTTGGGAAAAAACTCCAGTAATATTCATTACTACACCAGAGGTTCCAAACAGTGCATCATAAGTAATCATTCTATTACTAAAGTAATCGTATCATCAGGATGCTGAGAAATAGATTCTGCACATCAAAGGATAGTAATTTTGCATTGTTTGGTAGAGGTATCTTCTTTATTTTATTGATTAAGTCATATGAATTCCATGGACTGAATTTTGGTTGAAAGTTACAATGATTCAAGATGATATTGATTAGCCTTTCTGATAATTTAACTGATAGTGCAGTGATAAAGGAAACCACTGGTCTAATTGGATAACTCTGTTTGTGCAGTTACATGAATGAATATAATTTGGGCATTTGGGGGTTCATCAATGTTAATTTGAACTTTTCCCTTTCAGTAAAAAGTATGTTTGAATTTTTCAAAAATCTTTCACTTGTCTTTGGAAAGAATTAGTTGGATTACGTTTAAGCATTTAAAAATTTCCTAAATTCAAGAAATCAAGGGTTTTGTTGTCATAGTCATTTCGGTCAATAGCCACCACAGTGTTGCCTTTATCTGCTCTAATCAATATAACATCATTTTCGTTAATTTTACTGCGTATTGATTTCACAAGTTTCAATTCATTCGTAAAACTACCTTCTTTCAAAAATTCTGATTATATGATATGTGACGCCTGGTGATTGTTATTAATGCTATTCAATGCCCCTCCTAATGCCATTTCTATTTCGATCTTCAAGATCCCCAAACATGGACTGCGATTCCAAGAATTGCATTTACCAGATACCCTGCGATTTTAAGCTAAGTAACTTGGCATAAAATCTTTTAATTTTTAATTTTCATCTCGTGTTAACAGTTCAATTTTTTGATTTTCTGCTTGTATTTTATTTCATTGTAATTTCAGTTTTTTGCTCAATATACTTGTTATTTCGCAGCTAGTACTTTAAATTTTTCATAGATTCTTTCAGGGATTTCAAATCAATTCATATCATATTAGACAATGGAAGTCCGAACAAATGAAATGCACCAAAGGGTCGATTATTGCTATAAATGGAATTGAAAACCTATGGACGATGTTCTGCAAATTTCAACTACTTGAAAACAAGAAGAGTGAATGAAAATGTTATAGAAGTGCCTTACGTACTATATAACACGATCAGCAGCCTTTGTGCTGCTAAGGTATTCATCATATAGTCATATTTTGCTCAATTGTTTCCTTAAATCTATAGTATCTAATAAATAGCCTTGTGTTTATTCTACATATATATCTCAGTCTATTCTACGGGTACAGGTAGGCGGACGGGCAGTGTGTCGAATTTGTTATTTCCATCCACCGATCAATTAAATTCACCACAGGAAGGGGTTTCAATGATTCAATAAATCATCTGCAATCTTGCAATTTTTTACAACCCATCGTTTAACATGTGGTTCTTGCCCAAAATTTCATATCAGCAAAACGGAAAAAATATTTTTCCAAAGAATGAAAGAACATAGTACTTGGGAAGACCAATTCCACATTCGCAAACAATGTGCTTGACAAAAAGGCATGAGTTCAAATAGGTAGTTCGTTTATTACATGTTCGTTTTGTTGTTGAATTTGTTGTGATTCATCCGAATGTACTGAAAGAACTTGCAATCATTTTAGATTAAGTCAGAAAGATGGTGTGGAACTTTACCAATTCCAATCTCTTCGCATTTATCCTATAATCTAAAATATATTCTTTTTTCAAATTCCCGTCTTTTCGTTTCCTCCTCCTACTAACTTTGATTTTTAAATCTGAAGACTCAATTCTCAGCCTCTTTTCATGTCAGTACTATATGATGTCTGGCGATTTTCGGCCAATTTTTTTCTACGACTCCAAATTGAACCAAAGCTCTACCGGAACAACTCGAAAAATCAACCAGACATGTGACAATGATAGTGTTGATATTCAACGTTGGTTTGCAGTGGTTGGACACTCAGGCACTTTCCAAAGGAAAAATCACACAAAACAAGACCATTGTTGCTGTATGGTGATCAGCGGCTGGTATGATTCACTATAAATTTCTACTATCCGGCCAAACCATCACAGCAGAATTCTATTGTGAGGAATGAAATGTACCGAAAACTGCATCAGCAATTGCTTGAACTGGTCAACAGAAGGGGTTGGATCCTGGTCCACGACAACGCCCGTCCGCACGTTCCACAAGTCATGGTCCGAAAAGTGAATTATTTGAGCGTCTAAGTTCCCAAGACCTTTCGCCAACTGACTAACATCTTTTTCAAGTACTTCGATAGATTTCTCACCGTTAAAACCTTCACCAATCAGGACCAGGCAATAACGGCCTTAGTCGACTTCCAAGCACATAATTTTCATCCTGCACTGATTGAAATGTTTTTTCAAACTTTTGAAACAACCTTTTAACAATTATTGGGATCAACTAGTAGTTTGCTTTCCCTGCATTTTTTTTCATATTGTGAAAAATGAAAACCCTCAGAAAAACTTTGATTTTCACCACAAAAAATTTTCAATAATTAAAATTTTGTCATTAGGCCCGCAAACTCATAAGGTACAGTATTATATTTTTGGAAACTTATCCATAGAAACTCAATAATTAATTAACTAGTATATCATTGTCATTAACAATGTGATTTCGAGTTCTCGGAACACAACAAAGACTATTTTTAACAGGTCATAGTTCAGTTGGGACCCAAACTTTGAACTTTCTGATGATATATTTTGAATTGATAAAAACTTCAACTGTTTTCATTTGAAGTTTCATCGAATGATTGATACAGCAATACACTATTAAACGATAACACAAAAATTTTTACTTTTATCTAATTATCAATGACCTTCACGTAAATATAATTCAAATTATTTTAATGAAATATCTGATGAACTGGAACACTTGATTTATAATAAAAAACAAAGTCAATTTGGAGATAACTTCGAAATCGCTATCTGAATATTAATTATGGAATTAATTCACTTACATTCAACAAACTCACGTTTTGTTCGCGATTGAAGCACTACAGAAAAGTTTGAGGCTCCCTAAGAGCAGTGCCTCTGTGAAAGTAGAGATTCACGTTGGATTTGAATCGCTGGATAATGAATTCATTTGGAAAAACATTCTCATGAAGTTTATTGCATGTAACCGCAATTCTTCAAATGAAAGAGGTATTGAACAGTGGAGTTCGAAGTTCACTTAGTTGATTCTCAAAACTATTAGCAGCCATAGTCCATCGCGTATTCCTGAAATATACCGCTCTTGGTGGAATCAAATGTGCCAATTTCCTTGAATACCTCCCGTGAAGGTATCTATAGAAGAAAGACAAATTTCCAACTTTTCTCCCATGTTCCAGACTATCAAGGTTGCAAGTAATGCTCGTATCTCCAATTAGGTGTATGACTCTTCTCTGGATGGAATCCAGCAGCATCAGGGTATGCTTAGAGACGGAGCTCCATACTTGAGAACAATACTCCAAAGAAGGTCTGATCTGAGCTTTATAAACCAACAAAGTTGCTGGGCTGTGTACAATTTTCCAGTTCGGAACAGTATTCCAAACTTTTGAGAAGCAGCCTTTGCAATTTCTGCAACATGATTGTGCCAAGACATATTGGTGTCCATTTCAACCCCCAACAAACTTATCAAAGCAGAAAACGAGATTGTCTGTCCCGATATTATTATATCGATGCCTGGGTTTGCGTGGCATTGAATTGAACTTGGTTACTTTCACCCCATTTCAAAATCACCTCTAGATTCTCATTGAAATATGCAATCTCCTGCTGCCGGTGAAGATATGCATCCACAGCCGATGTCCTGGAATACAAATGAAATGTCGAGACAAGGGTGCTGTCGTCAGCATAGCAATATATCGGATACTTGGTTTCTCCAATACTTCATTGATTTACAATTAAAACAGTGTTGGAGACAATATGGACCCCTGGGGAATACCAGGTATCCATTGACGGCCACTCGCAGGAAATGTTCTTTCAGGAAGCTGGAGAACCATACACAAAAGTGATGCTATAGCATCGAAGTTTGGCCAGCAAATCTCATGCCACACATAGTCGAAGGCTTTAGAAAAATTAAGCGCAACAGCTCTTGACTCTCTATGTTTCCTGATTGCGGTATTCTAGATATGGATGACATACGATAGAAGGTCGCCTGTGGATCATTGTTTCCGAAAGCCACATTGATAATTGCTCAAAATGGTAAAGCCTTCCAAATATTCAAGGATATGGTGGTTTATGGCTTTCTCCATAATTTTTCATATCACTGATAGCAAATCGACTGGTCGATAGTTATATGGAAAATTGTTCTTGTCCTTTTTGGGAATAGGCTGAACGCCAGCAATATTTCAAGAAGAATGAAAAACCACATCCTTCTAAGGGAGTTTGAGAAGTCTGCAAAATGCTTGTGGGAATTCATTGGCGCAGTTCTCGAATACGATGAAGGGCACTTCATCTGGACCAGACGCCTTATTGATATTAAGCTGTTTCAAAATTTGTCTGACTAGACCTTGTCGAAAAGTAATTGACGGCATTGTGGATTCTAGTGTGGGAATAGTGGGTGGTGCATTTCCCAGAAAATCGTTTGTGAAGTGGGACACACATTTTTCACCCAGTAGATTGCCAGTAGATTAGCCAGTAAAATTGAGAATTTTGTAAAGTTTTGATTAACTGCTTCAGCTACCGATCAGAAAGTTCTAGATCAGTTGGGATTGGCAAACAGTTTATCCCCAATTATTTTCTTTAATTTATTCTAAGTTTGCCGCTGTTTCGAGCAATAACAAACCTTGTTCGATTTCCGGCACTGGGATTTTCACGCCACTGCCGGTAGGCGTGGCATTTTTGGAGGCAGCAGCTTGCTCGCAATCTTTGTTGAACTAAGGTTTGCTGTTAGAAGTTTGTTTCATTGAAATGGAAATATATACATCCATGGATGATAGAATAACTTCAAAAGCACAAGTTGATTAGAACTGAAACAAACATCTAGCCATGGGAAGTCTAAACACTTTCCTCAGAATTTTTTTTTTCAAATTCATTGTTAACTTTCACCCTTCATATTTCTATGAGATCACCTTCTTGGTTTGATTGTTCTTTGTTTCAACTGACTTAAACACATGGAGTTATGTGATTCATTGCTTCCCAGATACAATTGTTAAGGAAGGCAACAATAGATAATAATTATCTGAAAAATTCTAGCAAATTCCAACACATCAAGTTCACCACAAGTGTATTCTACCTTCACGTCCAAATATGATATCTTGTTCTCATCGTAATATCGATTCCATAGGAATCGATACCTTGATTTATGGAAAAGTTCAACTGGCGTATCAGTGATAACATAGTGACTGATAAACCTGAATAAGAGGAAGGATGAAATTAACTTTCGCAAAGAAAATACTCGATGAGCGATCATCGGAGTTAATGAATACATTATATACCTTTATATGCAAGTGTCAAAAATGTCTACTGATTCTAACCAATGAGTAAACACACATTTGAGAAAAACATGACATGTGAGTGAACTTCATCGGAACAGAATATCTTCATAGCGCGTATTTGAAAGAAGATATTACATGCATCATAAACTTGCATTTTAATAATTCGAACTTTTATTGTCTAATATGGCATTAAATTATTTGAAATCCTTGAAAGAATCGATAAAAATAACATAATATGCGAAATTAAACAGAAATTGAAACTAAATAAAATACAGAAAACAATCAAAAATTGAACAATTAACAAGAAATGAAAATCAAAAATTAAAAGATTTCTAACCAGGTTACTTCAGGACGTTTCGATCTTTAGTATAAACAATCGTCTTCATATGATGATTGAACTTATTTCTCCGAGAGATGAATATTTACAGGTAATTCAAGTGCTTTCATCGTCTCTTCTTACCTCTCTGCGCTTCACCGGTTTTAGCGGGAGCTGGCTATTTTTCACTTGATTACAGGTTTCCATATGTTGCGTATTTTTTTTTCTAAGGCAGAACACAAGCACTACGGGAAAATTTTTTAAGGCGCTCTAGGAGCGGTGCCTGTGCGAAATTAGTGATTCACGTTGTATTTGAGTCGCTGGTGATTAACTTCATTCGGAAAAACGTTCTCAGGAAGTTGATTGCATATAAACGCAATTCTTTAAGTGAAAGAGGTCTTAAACAGTGAATTTCGAAGTGCATTGAGTTGAACTTCATCAATGTTATGTTGATGAGTTCAATCATGACCTGATATTCGGCAAATGTAATTCTTGGAATCGCATCTCGCGTTTGATTGCCTGGTTTTCGTGAGGCTGCTACAGATAGTGTTTTCGGATCTGAAGCAGGTTCTGATGATATACTTGGAACCTGCTTCAAATCACCGTGAAAACCTTTTTGATAGGTGTAAAATGAATGACATATATTTGAAAGAAGTATTTATTCAGTGACGTTGAAAAATCAACAGGCCTTTACAGTTTTTCCCCTGAATCATCCATAAAATTAGCCTAATAAATATCCCCATGACATTCAGTTTCTATAGACAAACTTTTGAGACTATTTGAGACTATAGGATTGATGAACATTGTATTTTGTATTGAAATTGAGCAGCACGCAGGCATTTGTCTTTCTTCAGATAGGTTAGGAAAAGGAATAATAACAAAAAATAATTGATTTCCTTTCAAATCATTTTCACTTACCGAAAATAGTGACATTATTTGGATCGCCATTGAAGTGTTTTATGTTTCTTTGCACCCACTTCAGTGCCAACACTTGATCCTTCAATCCAGCATTTCCAGGTACTTCCAATGAAGAATCTTTCAAAGTGAGAAAGCCACAGAATCCTAGACGATAGTTGATAGTCACAAGCACGACATCTTTCGTAATTATATATTCAGGGCCGTAAAGTTTTGTACTATTTGAACCCAAAAAAAATCCTCCTCCATGGATCCATACCATTACAGGTTTCAGAGTGGAATCTTGTTCTGGAAGCTGGAGAGATATTTGATAATACAAGTGGTATAAAAACATAGGAATTTATATTTCTCTTTTTTCATATTTGGTAATGATATTATTTAATATATGTTGTTGATATAGATTAATATAGGTTTGTCCGTTATAATTTTGTGTGTTTTTGTAGCGACATACCTCAATGAATATTCAATTCACTGTATTGTGGTACATACTTATCTTTAGTGGAATTTGTACTCCATATATTAACGCTATTAATTTTTTACAAAATTTTGATATTTGTTTTTTCTCAGCTTATTGATATCTGATCTCGTTGAGCAATTTTTGGGCAATTTTTCTCTACGAATTCAAATTGAACGAAAGCGCTGTCAAAACAGCCCCGAAAATCAACTAGGCATTTGGCATTGATAGTGTTGAGGAACGCACTGTTCGACAAAAAATTTCATTTCTAAAACCCCGTTGGAGACTGACCCATCACAAACGGGAGGGCGAAAAAACTGGGCGTCTTACTATTTTTGATGACTTCAAATGTATTGAAAAAGTCAGAAAGCACAAAAGGTGGGTGCCACACGATTTGAATCATCGACAGAAATTGTCACGTTCGAGGGCTGTTTTTGTTTGCTTTTGCGCAACCAAAACGATATTTTTTGGGTCAGATCGTAACGTGTGATTAGAAGTGGATCCTCAACGATAACAGGAGACATTCAGAACAGTGGTTGGACATCGATGAGCTACCCAGGCATTTACCGAAAAAGGCCATGGTGATCAGCGACTGGTGTGATTCACTATATCTTCCTGCAACTGGATCAAATCTTCACATCAGACTCCTATTGTGAAGAAATCGACGAAATGAACCAAAAATTCCGTCAGCAGCAGCCGGCACCGGCAACAGAAGAGGTCCAATCCTGCTCCACGACAATACCTGTCCGTTTCACAAATCTCCGCCCGAAAATCAAACGAATCTGGCGTTCAAAGTCCTGCCTCCACCATCATACTCCTCAGACTTCTCGCCAACCGACTACCATCTTTCCAAACACTCCGATAACTTCCAAACCGGTAGAACCTTCGCCGTGTTAGGAATCACACGTTGAAAGGTAAGACCTCGTTAGTCCTTCACTCGCACAAGTTTCGACTTCTGAGCGTTGTCGTTCGTAGGGGTGCGATAGCTGGTTAACGAAAAAAACATATTTTAAACATATATTTTATTTCAAACAGGGTCAGGCAAAAATGCCTATGTCGACTCCATCGAATACCGAGCACCCAATTTTTATGCTGACGGAATTGATCAACTCATGTAACATTGACAAAAGTATACTAATTCAAATGTCGCTCATTTCGACTAAATTGAATACGTATTCACTGAGATAAGTTTGAAGTAACCTCACAAAAACGGACAAAACTTTTTAAACAACACTACTTGTTCACTCTTAGTATATACAGTGAGCACCATATGTAACGGATAAATTCATTTTCTACGTTATTAGCCATTTTCAAGGAAAACCCTGAAACACGTCGAATTTTATATGTCACTCTGTCAAATAAAATCCCCCCTCCTTCACCCCCCTCAACGTGACAGCCACGTCCCTTTTTTTTTAATGCAAAAGGGGGTCAAGTGGTACCTCATTTTGAAGGGTATTCAATTTTCAGTACAGTCATATCTTTATTTTTCAATTTTGTGCATCCGTCATAATGAAACAAAAAAATCAAAGGTATCACGTAGGTATTCCATTGAATCCGTCCGCTGTACAATATGCCATGCACATTCAATATTTTTGTTTGTTTTTACCAACCGTTGTTTGTCAGCCGTGACAGTTGAGTAAAAAATTATATATTTTCAGTGAACTTGCTGAAGATAAACAGTTTTGCAGTTGTTGTTTGTGTTTCTTGTTCAGTATTACTTTCAGACAATAGGCTAAAAGTTCTAGCAATGTCTTATTTGACTGAACTACTAGGATCTGGGGACAAAACTAGAACCCAGAAGAATGTAAGTGAAATGTTAAATAATAAATATCCTGATCATCACATTTTTCAATCTACTGTTAGTAGAATAGAAACGAAATTTCGTGTGAATTTGGGACTGTCCAAGATATTTCAAAACCAGGCAGGAGTGTATTGATTGACGATGGGAAGAAATTCGATATTTTGGTACACATCGAGGAGAATCCACATAAACCTACCCGACAACTTGCTGCCGATTACGACGTGAGTCAAAGTTTGATATTGCGTGTTTTTGAAAGTCAAAAGTATCACCCCCTATAAAGTACAATTGGTACATGAACTCAACGAAGACGACCCAGATCGCAGAACTGAGTTTTGCGAAATAATGGATCCCTTGTTTAAGAAAAATATATTGTTTTCCGACGAGTCAACTTTTTTTTTTGTATGAAACCGTCAACAGACAGAACTGTCGATATTGGAGCCAAGAAAATCCCCATTGGATAATGAAGGCCCACACTCAATATCCCAGAAAAGTAAATGTTTGGGCAGGGATCATAAATAATCGCATAATTGGACCATATTTTTTCAATGAAACATCAAATGGTGAACGTTACTTGAAGTTTTCGACTATTTTTTTAGTTCCAACGCTGAAAAGACTTTTTCCAGATAATGATAATCCGAATCAAATAGATATGAGTATCTGGTAAGATGGTGCTCCACCACATTTTGCAGCTGACTTCCGTGCATATCTGAATGAAGTTTTTCCCAACAGATGGATTGGTACACGAGGTTCCATAGAGTGGCCAGCCCGTTCTCCCGAAATGACACCGCTTGACTACTTTTTGTGGGTTCATATAAAATCCAAAGTATATGTCAATAGACCAAACAATATTGAAAGTTTGCAAATCATAATTAGAGAAGAAATAGAACGTATCACTCCCGAAACCATTCAAGATGTTGTTGATAACTTTCAGCAACGCCTTTATTATTGTCAAGAAACAAATGGCTGTCAGTTTGAACATTTGATCTGAAGACTTCCATTAGTTGCACATTGATTGCTACCGCTTTAATAAATGATTTAGCTAACACAATTTATTCAATTGTTTTTTTTTTGAGGCATGCACGAAATTGAAAAATAAAGATATGGCTGTACAGAAAATTGAAAACCCTACAAAATGAGGTATCAACTTGACTCCCTTTTGTATTTGAAAAAATTGGAGGGGTATTCTTATGGGCTCTTAAAAACTGCTTTCAGGACCGAGTAGATGTTGGAAGATGATGAAGCCCTTCCATAGATATGATTATTGGGTTGGGACTAGGAAAAGTTACAGCGACGGAAACTGGGAAATTGTCAGCAAGTATTTATCGGATATATGTAACAAAATCCGGTTTCAGTAACACTTTCTACGTTATGATAAACTACATAGTTTCGCGTGAAACTTGTGAAAAAGACATGCACGTTAAATAGGTAAAGAGAAGTGAAAAACGAAAACTCCCAAAACAAACTCATCCAATGGTTTCTGAAAGATGATAGACGTGATATTTTGGGCTACGTTGCGAGTGATCATCAGCTTAGCTGGGAAAAGGATAACAATGAAGGGATTGATTTTTTTTTATTCTGTGTTTTCTGAAACTAGGTAACTCCACGAAAGTTCTTTGTAATGACTTTTCAGATATCTCTTATGTATCCGCATATGAATGAACTAGTTAACCTATTGACTGATTCAGGACGGATTCGATACATTCAGCGAATATCACCTCATCAGAGGAACTGAAACATGAATGCAAAACAGAAGAGAATTGCATTTCGCCTGTTTCATTCACAAACTGATAAAAACACAACAACCCACTTATTTGGTAGATAAACTCCTTCCCAGACATCAGATACACTCAGGAAACCTTAGATTCAACAATAATTTTGACATTCCGAATCATATCAGCACTATCTATGAACGATCCTTCACGTATCATGCTGTAACAATGTATAATTCATTCAGTGAATCTTTGAAAAATTCATAACAACCGCTATTCAAAAGTGAACTTAAAACTGAATTGCTCAGCAAACAGTGATCCAAACATAAACATTTGTATTTTATTTTACTATTGTCCTGAAATTGCCATTTATTTTTTGTAATGTTTCTTTTTTTTTTCGAACATGGTTGAGTGGAAGAGTAGGTCTTTGCTAAACTACGCCACGTAAAATAAAGACCATTTATTAATATTATTATTATATTTTATGGCTGATACAAATATGTACATCTTGTCCACTTATAATAAATCCATCCAAGGTCGAAGAATGAAAATAATGTTTTTTTTTGGAAAAAAGGCTGAGTTCTCATTGAGTTTGTATTATAAAGAAACTGTCACAATATTTTCCAAAGCGCTCTAACAGCGGTGCCTGTGCAAAAGTAGCGATTCACATTGGATATGAATCGCTGGAGATTCAATCCATTTGAAAAAACGTTCTCAGGAAGTGTATTCCATATGAACGTAGTTCTCCAGGTGAAAGAGTTCTTAAACAGTGAAGTTCGAGGTGTACTAAGTTGAACCTCAAAACGATGAGCAGCCACAATCCGTCGCGTATGGACCGCTCTTGGTGAAATCCTTATGAATATATGCAACCTCCTGCTGCCGGTGAAGACATGCATCCGCAGCCGTCAGCAAAGCAATATATTGGATTCTTGGATAAAACTATAGATATAGGATGGAACATTTATCCGGTGACAGTCTACAGGATAATTCAAAAAATAAGGAACTATTACCACAGCAGGTAGGGATTTTGTGATAGAGACCACTAGAACTTGTTTCTGAACGGATATAATTGTGTGTGCTGTGGACGTGAATTTCATTGGATGAAATATTATTGGTCACGAATTTTCACACCCGATTATTCGGTTTTGATGGTATCCTCAACTATGCAAATATGTCATCACTTCATATGTTCCGTAAACTGAAAAGAAGTACTCAAACTTGTGTCCAGAAGCAACAGTAAGTTCTCTTCGTAATCCTTTTAACGAAAATTATATTTTGTGAAAAGAAAGTATTTTCTTTGACACTTTACATAGTACACTTTAAACACATACAATATCAATAATTGAAAAGTATAGTTGTCTAACATATTTGAGAAATATGTTGCATAATGACATCGACTCACCGTTTTGGTGAAGACATTGAGATTCAAACAATCCTCACTTCCTTCCACATCTGGACTAACCATTATATCTCTTTGACGACTGCAGTTTCCAATGGAAGTTGCATCCTTTATTCCTTGCCACGATTCGATAGGTTGAGGGGCCTGAAAATTGAGTCCAATGAACAAAAAATAATTTGTGAAGTCAATCTCCTGAATGCGATGGATTCACATTTATATTTTGACATGATATTAATGTAGATTTGATAAGATATATAATAATAATAATAATAAATAAGCAGGGATGGTCACTAACACCCATGGCCTTTGGTGAGTTGCGACACCACTTACCCGAGCAACTGGTGCAAAACCGGACCGGCAGCCCAGGCGCACCCGGGAAGGAGAACTCTATTCCCCCTCTGGTGCCGACCGTGGATCCACAGGGCTAACCACCCGGTGGACCCAACACTTGGTTCCCAGTAATCAAGAAAGGGGCCCCCACAATCGACCCGCTCGGAGGGGTCAGAGGCAAGGTGGTGGGTCCCATAACGATGATTTGCCTAATAATGACAACCTTGGCAATGAAAGTGGACGCTTTGAGTGGACGCATGAACTGAGAGATAGCCTTATGCATTGCTACGAGAGTAGTGAGCCTGCGTGAAGAGGGTACATGGCGAGATTGCATGCTCTGTAGTGTGAGACACATCCGGAGCATGCCGCCTTTTCCGCCCAAAACCTTAGGGATTATGTATCTTATCTTCGGCAGCAGGACTATTTAGCTCCTTCCCAGCCTGCTAACGAAGTGGTAGCCGTTGGCACGGCTGGAGAGGAGACTCGCATCATACCACCAATGAAGACGACAATCAGAACATGCGCCTGAGCCCCTGAAGCCACAGGAACTGGCTCATTTGGATGCGGAGGTTCATAGTGTTATAACAGAAGAGGCTCACATCTGGCAAATCAACACCGCCGTGTATGACGTCGTCCAATCGCTTTCCGAATCGGAAGGACGAAATCCCGGCCTTGCGGTTCGGAAGATTGAACGGCG